TGCTTGTGGTGTGAACTGTCTTTTTTGTGGTGTGGCATGATTGTGTTATTGGGTTTGTTTCTTTTGAAGGTTAAGTGATGTGTTGTGAGTGAGGACATATTTTACCTCAGAATACACTAGGTCCCATATTCAACTGAAAATTCCAACTGTCTTGTGGGGGGGGGGAGTTTGAGGTGTGGAATGGAGTGAAGTCCAATCAGCTTCCATATGCAAATGACCTTGAAACGCTGGCCCAATCAGAAAAGAGTGGACTGAAGCGGCCCAGCCATAGAAGCCCTGTCCCTGCACTCAGTCTACAGATGGTCCTCACCTGTCAGAGGCCCAGAGCAGACTGAGCCATTGACGTGGGTGGGACTACACAAAGCAGCCAGTCAACCCAGCCAGTGTCTTCTGACTGACTGTTCAAGCTTCCAAACACTGTTGGTGTGCATTTGGAATGTTGGGCCCCACTATGCCTTTATATATAAGGGAGAGATGATCAACCACTCCTCCTGGTTGAGCTGGCTCTCTACCCAAATGACCCCAGTCTCACAGATCAGGGCAGTCAGGGCTTTCTCCTGCTCCACCAAGCATTCGAGCATGACACAGGTGGAATTCCAGTGAGTGCTCACATCACCCAGCAGGCAGTGCTCTGGCACACCTGTCAGCATCTGCTTCTCATGCAGCAGATAGGTGTCCTTCACACTGCAAGAGAAGTGACTCACAATGCACTGAAATGTCTGGAAGATAGGCCAGAACTCACAGGTGTCAGTGTCCACTCTGAGAATCTCTACAGAACCCATGCTCAAGGAATCCTTACCCATGATGTGGAGAAGGGGGGGGCTGCACAGTAAAAGTGTGTCAGGCCTAATCGCTTGGCTGCTGCCTTCATGTTCAAGCCACCATCAGTCACCATGTAGCCCATGGTAAGGTCCCTGCCTACCCATGCCACTGTCTCTCAATGGTGGCAATGTTGTCCATCATGTGCGGCCTGTCAAGTTTTGCATAGTGGAATGGCAGTCCCTGGGAATATGCTCAGTGCTCTGGGACTGAAATGACAGCCCCCAAAGGAGAATTATGGTCACTAGGAAGAGAATCAGTGTTCTTGGACTGAAATGACAGGTCACAGAATGGAATGACAGTCCCTGGGATTAGGAGACATGTTGTGGGACTGGAATGACAGCCCCTGGGAGTTGCAGAAGTGTTCTAGGAGTATCATTACACTCTGAGGGCTGTCATTCTAGTCCCAGAGCACTGAGCATATTCCCAGGGACTGAATAGACATTTTATTAACTTTTTTTCAATGTAAATATTTAAACAACTATACAAAGAAATAGAGTTGGATTACAAATTCAAACAGGCAGTCCTTTACAATACTTTTGATAGCAGAAAAGGTTCAGAGTTGAATATTTTTTATCAAACAAGTCATAAAGCTATACTATTATTGGGCCCAAAGACCTTGTGGCGGAACGGGCCCGCATCAGCTGGCAGACCCCGCTCTGCCCACCCCTCCTTTGCCTGACCTGGCACCTGAAGGGGCAGTTTTTCACCACTGCCTCCAGGTATTGCTGCCACCACTGTCCCTGTCTTGGGCTCTGGTTAGGCGGGACAGCCTCCTAACCTCCCTCTGATGTCGCTAGGAACCCACCTCGGGGCTTCCTGGTGATCTTCGGGGCTCCCCTGGAGAGTTGGCAAATGGCCATTTTGCCCTTGTTCTCCTCCTCAGAGAGTCCCCAACCTACTCCTAACGTGTCCAAGCGGCTGGGGGAATTATGTGGCACAGAGGGACTTCTCCGTGTCAACAGTAAAAGGATTTATTTGGAAACCACTCAACTATATACAGGCCTATTAACAGTGAACTGAAGAATCAAACTAAAGGTGGATAATAAATCGCTCCCTCTCTCCCTTCACTACTCTCATACCCTGTCTAGAGGGTCTGCAGGGCAGGCACACGACTTTGCTTCCACTGGAGGAAGTTAGAGCAGCCCAACTCCCAACATGGCCTCTCTGCCTCCTGCAGACTCCAGCCGACAGCCTGACGGGCTGCAGACCTCAGGCAGACTGACCTCCATTCCCACAGGCTGGCTTCCCGCCCAAATGCTCCACTATATCAAGCAGCCCTTCCCGCCCAGGAAGTGGCTCTCCCTCCTGCAGCATTCTGGGGCAGATCTCCTCACAGCCTTGATGGACTTCCTGTCCTCTCTAGGGAGCTGCCTCAGACTACTGGTTAGAGACGTGGGGGGGTGGGGACTAGGCCAAGGCCTACCTCAGGTTTGATGGTCCCCTCCTATCTGGCCCACACCAACTTAAGCATAGGCATAAAATGGCGTTTCTCCACAGACCTTAATGGCAAAACCATTCCTCGTTTTCTTTGGAACTTTTTTTGTGCTGCAGTGTATGTCAGTGGAGCCCATGCAAGCCATGCAGACCATTTTATTTCATAATACTATTTTATCATCAATTTATTTCATAATATTCAACACATGAGACTATGTAATACGTAACATATAATACAATATCCATGAGGGTAAGATTTGACAATCTAAACGATATTCAGTATCTCTTTTTTGACTAATTCTTCAGATTTGTTTCTATTCCAAAAAAGTAACGAAGGGAGACCATCTTATGCATATCTGTCTCTATCCTACAACTTCCTACACGCATATATTTCCCCTATTAACACAGTATACTGTACTTTCCTTAGCCATTTCTCATAGGGTTGCCAAACCCCCCGTTTTGGGGGGGGACCCCCAACACCCACAGCCATCCATCTCTCTCCCTTTAAGGGTGTGCAACCCACGTTTCATCCCAAGCGCGAACTCCGCAAGCTTGCAGGGAAAAGCCAGCTTCGTTCTTAAAAGGGAAACACAGCTTCTCTTAAAGGGGAAACGCCGGCTGCTGGCTACTTTAAGTGCAGGGAACTGCTGTATCTGGAGATCCGGCGCACGGCCGGGTGGGGGGGCCTGCAGACGTCCCCAACGTGATGCCATCACGTTGGGGATGCCCCACCCCTTCCAGGAACGCCCCCAAAGTCCCCCGCGGGGGGGTGGAAGATGGATTTGGCAACCCTAATTTCTCAGTATCTGGTGCTTTCTCCTGTCTCCATGCCGCAACTATTAACATTCTGGCTGCAGCGATAAACACATCTTATTAATTGAGATCCATCTGAGTCTAATGTTCAAAAGAGCTACAACAGGGTCTTTTCGTATTTCTATGTGCAGGATTTCTCTCACTAACTTAAACACCTTATTCAATTTTTTTTAATATAATTGGGCATTGCCACCAGATATGAATATGCATTTCCTGCATATATTAGATGTGGAATAATCTGGAAGGCACATTTTTGCACAAACATTTAGGGATGTATAAAAATAGTAGATCAACTTCAAAGAAGAAGAAGAAATAGGATTTATACCCTGCCCTTCACTACCCAAAGGAGTCTCAGCTTACAATCTCCTTTCCTTTCCCTTCCCCACAACAAACACCCTGTGAGGTAGGTGGGGCTGAGAGAGCTCTGAGAGAACTGTCCTTGGAGAGAACAGCTCTGAGAGAACTTGTGACTGACCCAAGGTCACACCAGCAGCTGCATGTGGAGGAGTGGGGTATCAAACCTGGTTCTCCCAGATTAAAGTCCGCACTCCTAACCACTACACCAAACTGGCTCTCATAGAATTACCAACCTCCATGTGGAACCTGTGAAACTCCTAGAATTGCAACAGACATCCAGATTTACAGAGATCCAGATTTACAGAGATCAGTTCCCCTGGAGAAAATGGTTGCTTTGGAGGATGGACTCTATGGCATTATACCTTGCCAAAGTCTCTCCCTCCCCCAAACCCTGCTCTCCCCAAATCTCAAGGAGTTTCCCAACCCTGCATTGGCAACCCCATCAACCAGTTCTTTATTTTAATTTTTTCGGGTTCTCCAGCAGACCTCCTGGTAGGTAAGGCAAAATGTGTGTATGTGTGTGTGTGGGGAGGATACTCTGGATTTTCAAAGTGGAAGCAAACTAGTGTTGCTTCCCAATTCTTTTTCCACACAGGCAACAGAGTTGCACCGTACTAAAGGATTCACAAAATATCTTCGATAAATGATTAGGGATTGGGGTCTATCCTACTGTGTTTAGCTTACTGAAACTAGGATCCTACTATGTAATTTTTCTATCACTCAAGGTGTCGTCTTAAAACTCATGCTTTGCTTCAGTTCTGTTTTTAGATTTCTGGTGGGTTCTACAGCCCTCATCCTATTGCAATGCTTGTTGAATATCCCGTCCTATCCACTGTATTGACTCACTCTGTGTAATCTGCCTTGGGTCCAAGAGAGAAAGGTGAACTATAAATCATGTAAATCCAGGGGTCATTTCCTACAGGAGAGCACAGGAGCGGAGCTCCGGCAGTAAAAAGCCCAATGGGCGGGCACATGCAGCAAGCCCCACCCCCTGCTCCCAGCAGCCCTCAGTCAGAGCATGAAGCAGCCAGGTAAGTTGCAGAGCTCCCCTGGTCCCCCGGCCCAAAACAGTCCAGTGGCACTTTTAAAACCAAGTCTTATTCAGGTACAAGCTCTCTCTTCTCCTTCTGTGAGGGCAGGTCTGCACTCCCCCCCCCCAATAGCTAGCAATCCAAAACAGTCCAGTGGAGCCTGAGTGGTGGGTGTTGCCTTCTGACACACTTCCGGTGATGTCAGGGGGTGTGACATATACAAATAAGGTATGCTAATAATTTATGCTAATAAGAACATAAGAGACTCCAATGTTGGATCAGGCCAAAGGCCCATCCAGTCCAACACTGTGTCACACAGTAGCCAGAAATACCAGTGCCATCAGGAGGTCCACCAGTGAGCTCATGCACCCCTTTTTCTACTAAATGAACCCTGTGTAAATCAATAAATAAGTTCCAGAAGCTGCCTGGATGGGTCCCATTTCCTCTGGATGAAAGCACATCGGAGACTTGTGGTTCCTTTGCTTTATTTAAAAAGTGAAAAGTAGAGGTCAATGCTCTCCTCCAAACAGAGATAACAGTGGCTGGTTTGGCATCGGTTTCCAAGAAAGCATCTCTGGCAACTGCTCTAGCCCAGCCAGTTCCAGGAAAAAAACCCTTCTTCTTTCTCCCTCTGCTTTCACTTCTCTGCTATCACAGCTACAAATTGCTCTTTTCCTGGTGGTGTTCCGCCTCCTTCAGTCAAATGGAGGGGGGGTGTCACCTTCTCCAGGGAGCTATCAGACAACCATGTCCTAACCATTAGCTCCCTGTTGGACTATTAAGCAGCAATCCACCAACCAAGGAAATGGCTGGCCGGGAGCTTTAGCGATATACACCCATCCTAAATCTTTCCTGGAGGGCCTAAACCAGATGCATCCATCTTTTTCAGGCTGTGAACTCTGTGAACCTTGGTTGAACTAGAAGAAGCAGCAGGATGTCAAATTAGATGTGATTTAGATGAATAGCTTGGCCTCTCCCCAAGGTGTGGGGGAAGAGTGCCGCCGTTCTTGATCACGGGTTTCATGGAAGCACCACTGAGACAATCGTGCTGAAAAAGCAGCTCTTCTTGATTCTGTTTCCAACATTTCCAGTCCTACCTTTTGCCACCACACGTCAGCCCCAGGGAGGCCACCGTGAGACTAGGGGCAAAGCGCGCACATCTGGCATGTTGTCTAGTAGATAGTGGGTGGGTAGAAGTCTTGATGGGGCCCCACCAGGTGGTGGTCAGGGATGGGGAGGAGCTGGCTCACGAACTAAAGTTTGTCATATATTTTGGCTGGTTTGTGGTCCGCGAAGTCAAGTTCGTGGCAGGTCAGCCAGCACAA